AAGGAAGCATTCACAGAGTTTAAGAAACAATTTTCCGATGAAAAACTCAGCTTTAGTAAATTTGAATTAAGACCAAAATATTGTATCTTAGCTGGAGCAAGCGGTACACATACAGTTTGCGTGTGTGCAATTCACCAAAATGTAAAATTGATGCTTGATAGTGGCAAAATTAAAAAATTGTCTCAAAGTATGACTAAACCTATAAGAACGTATCGCGATTGCTTAGACCAAATTATTTGTAAAAATGCAACAACAGATTGTAATTTCTCCAGCAGTACACCGTCCGGGTAAACTTCCTGGAGCTATACAAGGAGAAGCTGACTGACCTGCTAATGGACGGAAACGATAAGCCGTTTAAGATCAACCTGTACGAGAACGTGACGAAGAAAGTTGCAAAAAATGCCCAGGAACAACAGATCTTATTAATTCATTACAATCTGTTTATGATGAAGAATTTACTGACACAATTGTGTATAAACAATGGGTTACTGTTGATCGAGCAACTTTGGAAACGATGCAGACCTCTGTACCAGATTTTTTAGAAAAATTGTCATCTGTCTTACCAAAATTATTATCACATAATTTTATTGCTCAGCAACAATCAAACTTCTTAAAACATAAAAAAGAAAATTTAACAAACGAGGAATGCGTTGTAATAGGTGATTTTTCGGAAAACTATGCATTTGTATTTCAAGATGCAATTCAAGGAGTGCATTGGAACAATGACCAAGCAACTATACATCCTTTTGTTATTTACTACAAAAAAGAATGAACACTGAAACATAAAAGCTTAGCTGCAATATCAGACTGCTTAAAACATGATACTGTTGCTGTTCACTTATTTCAAAGACAAGTTATTGAAATAATCAAGAACATAACAAACGATGTAAAAAAAATTATTTATTTTACTGACGGTGCTGGAGCACAATATAAAAACAAGAAGAATTTTATCAATCTCTCCCACCATTACGACGACTTTGGCTTAACTGCAGAATGGCATTTCTTTGCCACGTCTCATGGCAAAGGACCCTGCGACGGAATTGGCGGAACAATTAAAAGATTAGCAGCAAAATATAGTCTTCAACATTCAGATGAAATTATTAAAACTCCAAGAGATTTATTTAACTGGGCGAAAATAAATATAGAATGTTTATACTTTGATAAAGCGGAATATAATAATTATTTTAATTTTTTAAAGCCACGATTTGACTGCGCTGTGCCCATAACTGGTACAAAAAAATTTCATTCGTTTATACCGATTGACAAAAAACAAATTGAAGTTCGAGAGTTTTCATTTTCAAGCAAATGTTCTATCGTTAATGTAATGAAATAATCTTGTGATTTTTTAAATTGTATTATTATTTAATTGTACTATTTTTAATTGTAAGCAAGACGAAAATTTAAATGACGACGGTTTGCCGAATAATATTTCGTTCAGATACTGCGAAAGCGGATGTTTATTATTATACGACCGATATCGAAGAGAAAAAATGCTGACGATGAAAATATAATCGTTAAAAAGACGAGAGAAACTATTTCTCACTCTTAGGCTCCGATTCCAGGAATCAAAATTTAGACGAGAATGCGAATAATTTAAGATTTGTTAATTATTATAACCATTCCAGAAACAAAACTTAGCTAGCCGAAGATAAAGCGTTATGTACAATTAATTAAACAACATCCTTTTCTCGAAACGAAAGAGATTATTAGATTATTTTGGAAACACCATTAACTCATATTAGTCCCCAAAATACAGGTGGCGAAGTAATCAACGGCATCGATGCGCCGCGCTTATTATACTTGGTCGAACTAGAGACGCGAGCACAACGCGACGCGGCGCGGCGCGGCGCTTCAGTCATTAAAATTATATAAAAAATAGAAACCATCGTTTCTCCATAAAAAAAAAATATGTGTACTTTCAGAATGAAATAAAGAATAAGATAGCATTATTTAAAAAATTTTTTTAAATGTACTTTTTAGTGAAAAAATTAATTAAACATTTCAATTGCTTATAACAATTGGAATTTGCAATTTTTTGTACCTTAAACTATATTTTTTCAAAGATTGCCTTCTTAGCTTTAAAATGGTTTTTTGAATATTTCTCTACGACAAATATAACCAGAGATATTAATTTGTAAAGTAGATGACTTCTTCATTTTTGACGAATATTGTATTGTTCATAACTTTTGTAAAAAAAATTTTTTGGACAAACAAAAAAATACGTATTTGCTTATTTTATGTATATTTCATGTAAAAAAAGTTTCAATTGATTTAAAAAATACGAGGTCAAATCTTGTCCGATTTGACGTGGAATTGCCCATATCTGTAAAATTTCAACTTGATCGGAGCTCATCTTCTGCCTCCAACTTTTTTTTGAAAATTTTACTAAGAGCAAAATTTTGAAAATTAAAAAAAAAACGCAGCTGAAAAGGAGGGGTGTTCATAAGGCCGTTTTTTGATCCACGTCAGAATCGCTCAATCTGAAAACTCCTTACGGATTCCGTAACCGTGATTTCAGATTAAACAAACCTATTTCTAAATTATCAATTCCAGAATTCAAAAATAGGTATGTTTAATCTGAAATCACGGTTACGAAATCCGTAATCGTGATTACAGATTAAACATACCTATTTCGGAATTATCAATTCCTGATTTAAAATTACCGACATATCTATTTTAAAATTATAAGTCCCTTACTTGGCCGTTAGGCAGTCAATGTCTCGCTGTGGCTGTTGCTGTTAGTTCTTGTTTTCATCTTGTGGAAGCAACATACAGTGCTCTTTACTTCCAGTGAAAGAAGAATAAGAAAAAGATTGTTCTTTACGCGTTTCTTTTCTCGCGAAGACGTCATCGTCGAGCTTTGTTCATATCGCATCGTGTTTGTGATTTGCGTTATTACGTGAAAATTTTCTTGTGATATAGGTCAATATACGAAGGATATCTATTGACTTCGTGGGAATTCACCGAATTTATCCCACGATTTGAAGGTAAGTGGTTAACTAAAAACACTGTTGTATTTTTGTTTTATTAATTAATTTAGCTAAGGTTACCAAAGGTAATTTTTTTGGATAAATGATGAAACCTACCTAAGGTAGTTAGTCCGTGACAATACAATTCAAAATTTTATACTCTAAATCAACGTGAAAACATCGGATTATTTACGGTTACAGGCTGAAAACTTTTTAATAGTTCTGTCCCTCAGACACAGAACAAAAGATAATTTTTTTATTTTTCTCCTCCATTTAGTCACTTCTTTACTCTGAAGAATTTGAGGCCCACGATTATTAGTAATCAAATTAACTAAATTAACTAAAAATAAAAGGAACAAAGGAAAAAATAAAGGAAAAAAATTTCAATTTTTATTATGAAGACTATATGTAAGATCTACTTTGAAATTATGAATTTGTTTCTCATATAATATTGAACATATTATAATTAAATGTGCTCATTACAATTAATTTATTTGACTATTTTTAATTATTTTCTTAGAATTACTTAAATTAACTAAAAATCGTAATTAGCTATTCTATATTTCAAAGATTTTTAACTTATACTAGTCAATTCTCTCAATTAGTTCTGTTGATTTTCAGTTACGTAAGAAGCAAAAGATTGTTGTTGAGGAGGACAGAAAAAATGCCAGCGTTTTGGTAATTGATGCCATCCTAGAAGAAGAGCCTTCAAGACTCATTGAATCCGCCTTGTTCTAACGGCTGGCCAACGAGTTGTGCGAGATATTCCCATCAAGAACATCTCCTGCGTCTTTTTTCCTGACCTTTTTACCGAAGACGCTCTTTCAAAGCAGAGAAACTTATCGGGGCCTCTCTACAAAGCCTACGTGAAAAAGAGATAAATTTCGAAAGAATGGCGTGCTGCCGCCTTAAGCAAGATCGGCGTCTAGTCGGTCTTCTAGCAAATCAACACCCACGGTGAAGGGTTGGTTCTTTGAAGAGAGCAAAAGCTCCGGACTCTACATCATGTGAGTATACATAACTTATGACATCAGTCCTGCCAGGCTAAAGGTACTAGTTAATTAACTTAAAATTGTCCTAATTTTTTAGACTTATAATTTTCCCATCCACTTCAGACACGAAAGAGACCAGGACAGCCGTAAACTTTCTGCAAAACAACGTCCATCTCTAGAAACCGGATTTTTGGCGAGCCACGAAAAAAGAGCGAAAGGGTATCCTTGCCGATAAAGGAATATTTAGCTATTTCCAAAAGTTTCCAGCCATACGAATTCAGGAAGGATACAGACTGGTAAGTATTTGTTGTACAAACATTAATATTACGGTAGAAGCACGGTAGAATTTTGTTGACTTAAAACAGCATTTAGTAAACACAAGCATAATATTCATATCACTGAACTCCAATCTTATAGGAATTGGACTTCACATGATGTGAACATAGTGCTTGTGTTTATTTAACGAAGTTAACACAATAGTTTTTACATTTTTTTCTTTATACAGCTCCTAGACGATTTCACAAGATAATTTCCCAAAAAGGAGAACAATCTCTTCGCCAGTATTGCCTTAGCAAAAGAGAAAATAATCAAATTGGCCAAACTAAAGTTAGCAAAACTCTCTGACCACCCACTCTTTACCACCCACCACGATCAGATTCTTATTAATCGCTCTTTTAACATTGTTTTTCGACAGAGCGAACTATCTAGGCGAGATGTTACCGGGACAACAGCAGCAACAACAAACTTTAGGAATAGTTCCACAACAACAGCACCAGCAACAACATCATCACTTGTCCAGTTGTATGTCGACCGTACAACTCAAGTCGACGGCTGAACGAGACAACAGACGTAATCATCAGGTTTACACTAGTTCGCCCGTGAAGCAAGAAAATCACAAATCCACCGATCACGGATCTGGTACGTGTGTTCGCGGAGCAATGAGTTATTTGTGTAACGTGAATGCACCTTTACGAATGCTCTGTTATCCTTCACAGAAATGTATGAGATAAGTCCGTACGCCACGTTTAGCGTTCCCGGAAAAAGAGAACCGTTCGGTCACAACTGCGACGCTCGACTACACGTTGCAATGCAAGACTTTTGGTCATTTGGAGAACGAGGACATCAACACTATCGATTATGACAGATCCAGTGTGAAGTTCGAAAGGTAACTGGCTTCTTCCGCCGCTTCTTATCTTCTGACTTTTCGTGAAATCCGTTTCGCGTTTTTGCGTCCCTATTTTTCTCCTCTTCTCTTCCTCTTTCTGGTGTTCTTTGACGCGCAGATCGAAAACACCAAGGTGGCACAAGCAACGCTACTTTCCGAGCATCGCGGAAGCCGAGAGCTAGCTGCGATCAAGTCGACAAGGCTCCGGGAGCGACACGTCCGGAAGCCCTTGCGGCGAATGCGCCGGGCCTAGTTATAGAGTGCCAGTAAAGCCTTGTAGAGGTACAATTATGTATTCCTACTCTCACGATTTTGTAGACAAAAAGAAATCGCATAGAAAATAATTTATCGAGAAAACCAGCTGCACACGAATAAATCTGCGTGTATAACAACGCGATTCTCCTTACAGATGTATTTTCGCGAGGTGTCGAATCGAGTACGGAATCTAACAACGAAGGCTCGCCCTCACTCGCGAGACGACGAAGCCGACAGCCGAGCCGGTCTACTCGCAGGTAGCCAAGGTTTGTTTGTTTCCACATAGCACTCAGTCTTGACTATTCGATATCGGCCTCTTATCGTTTTCACACCGACGCGAGAAAGAAGCGCAATGACGCGAGTCATTTAGCAATTAGAAATTTTTCACGAGTGTCAAACATTTATTTATATTTATTTTATGATTATTATTGCAAGAGACATGTTAAAAATACATATATCCCGATAGAGTATGTTGTGATACATATATGACATATTGAGTTTTCACGTCATTGCGTTTTCATTCTAGAGCCTCATATTTTATACGACGAAGGATACCAAACATTTAAGGATGTTCTAATATGTTCGCTATTAAAACATAACAAAATTTTCGTATTTTGGGGAAAAAATTTAACTAAACCTTTACGTGACCGATGAAAAAATTATCCTTACACGTATAAAAGATGTATTGTGTGTATGTACCTCATCCTATATATATTTAATTTAGATAATATCAAAGATAATGTTGATAATAACCATTAAATTAATCATCAATTTATAATTAATCATCGTGAAACATTATCTTACGAATAAGAGATTTGATTAATCGTATTTAGTTAAAGCTGCATTTTATTAATTTCTTAATTCAGGCAACGGTGTCACAAACTTTAAAGAAAAATTTTCCTTCTGACTCGACAAATGTATCCGCTGATCTGTTTGACAGTTCGGTGGAGGATATGACACTATTGCCGCCAACCGGGTTCAGTGACAGCCGCGAATTGAGCGACGTGGAGTGCGACCGTGACTGTGATCGCGAACGCGATCGCGAATGGCAAGGTTTATCAGCCGGAACCCGTCACTGCGGCAGTTTGGGCAAACTTCCGATTGAGGCCGTCGAATCTATGCTCGCATCGGCACGAGTCTCCGTAAACAGGCATGCCAAGTACCAAGCAGCCGAGACCGGTCTAATCCTCGGAAATTTATTTGTTTGTATATAGGATGTCTCGCGACAATCGTTATACATATGTATAATATATGAGAATTTGAGGAAAAATGATAGTTATTTGGGATACTGATACTTTTTATATAATATCAGTAGTATGTAGCTAGCTGACATTATTTGTCGTCAATTGTCATTTTAATGTCAAAATGACGACAAATAACGCTTGCTACTAGGCTTGTATTTAATAATATTATATGTTTCCATATATATACATTTATAGTAACATCAAGTAGATTATATTATTTAATAAAACTTTTACTTATCAAGGTAAATAATATCAAATATTCAAGACGAGGAATAAAACATTCTCTGAATAAATTTGAAGTATCATTGATTCATTTAAAAAATTACTACCATATACTCGCTTTGGTTTTGAAGAATGCGAGATACTTGAAAATTAATAAGAGAGAGAATTTAAATAAAATACTTTTAAAAACATATGCGTTATCTGTTGCAGATATCAGCAAAGGAAGGAGCAAGAGAGACAAGAATTCACTATACACGTATGATCGAGATTCGCTGGTTCGACTTGGTAACTTCGCCAAACAATTTAACATTATTTAGAAAGAGATGACGAGTCGTCTCTTTTCTTGAAACTATCCGTCGCCGTTGGAGAAAATTTTAATGTGTTGAAAAGAGTGCGGGAGAGACAATTCAATTTTTAATGGAGGTGGATACAAGAGACTCTCATTGTCAGATCCATTTGTGTCGAAGAGGCGTCTCAATAACTGATCTGCGTTGCGCCAAATACTGCCGTTATTATACACAAAACATAGCCTTCGTATATAACCCTATATGTGCCACGTATGTAATGCAGAATTTCGAAAAAAAAAAAACACCAAATCCTGTCGGCGATATACACATGATGCAATTAAGCAATCGAGAAATAACGGAAGCATTCGATTAACTGTACGTTTTTGATAGCATTTATCCTTTCTATCACCGAATTACGATTACATTGTCTTACGATTACCGTACGGAACGTGATTATACGATAAAAAAAAGTCTGATTGACCGATCCATTACTTTCGCGACGACCAATTATTGATATACAGGATGAAGGTGAACGCCAATTTCCATGCGAGTACCTCCGCTTCACTAGTGCGATCTACTTATTAATGAGCTATTCTACGTATGATTATAGGAACGACCGATTATTCGCGGTAATGAGTATTGCATTTTAAAAGATTTTAAAAAACGCTGCAACGACCGCAGCGTTACACGTTACACGTTACCCCCGTAAAAAATCTGAAGAAAAGCTACGAGCTCGTACTGGAAAGTGTAAAAGGTGAGTCACATGATTCTTGATGTGCTCAATTAAGAGGCATTTTTACCACCCTAAATCAACCTTGATTTTTTGGAATATTAATAATTTTTAAAACGATACCTTTCCATATTTTTTCTAATGCTTGTTGGTTACACTTTGCCTTAAAGTCCATTTTTACTTTGTGTTTTTTAACATTTTGTGCAGTTTTCACTTCAGTCATATTTCTGCTACTACACTACTACTTTGAAACTTGCGTTACTTATTTTGTTTGTGTTTCTTTTCAGGGGAGGACCCGAAAACTCGAAACAACGCACTTATCCTCCTGCTGCCCCTCATTACCCCGTCGCCTGGGAACGTAGGCGGAAAGAGCGGCGCTAAGAAGACACCAACCAAGTCGACAAACGTCGAAATCAGGGATCACTTCGTAACACTGCTACATAACGACGCACACATTCCATTAAAAGAACATTGTATAACATCTCTGCAATCGTTGCGATTTGCCAGTGAAGTAAAAGAATGCAAAACTGGTGGTAGAAGCCCGCGGTTAAACGCCAGTAGGGCCAATAGTCCCTATTCTAGGGAGAATTAAAACAATAAGCACAGTTTCTCTCTCTCCTTCTCTCCCTCTCTCTTTCCCCTTTCCCTCTCTCTTCTCATCAGAACTTTTTGTCGAGCCGCCGTGCGGCACACACACACACATATTCTGAGAGCCGTCTTACGGCACACGTTCGCCGGGCAGAACGCATCACGGAATCACCTTTGCCGTCTTGCTCAACCGGGAGTGTGCACGTCTCCTACTGCCTTTTCCTGCCTGCTCTATCGCTTGCTCTCCACCGTTTTGCTTGCTTGCACGAGTTTTGCCATCGATGTTTTGCCAACACAGAAAGTGGTGATCCTAAGAAAGGAGGCTCTCCAATCTGCAGGTGAAACTTTTTAGCCGTGTATGTTTGCCACGGGGGAATGGAAAATAGTTAAATCTGCATGGGTTGTCAATGAAACGTTCTACAAAAAGATATCCTTTGTATTTGATTTTATATAAAAAATGTATCAATTTACGTAATAAACATATCATTAATAAATGGTTTGGATAAAAGATGCAAGTTTTAAATTTTGATTTCCTGCTACCCATAAAGAAGGAAAGACGTTAGGTCTTAAGAAATTTAGCTCGTATATCATGTATTGTTTTTATTATATGTATTGTTGCTCTTGGATGTGGGTGGATATTCAATATAACATTAAAAAAGGAATGGCTCTTGACTGAGATTCAAACTTGAATAATTTACATCTTCTGTTTCAGTTTCTCACTTTACTAAATCATCTTAATATCTCTGAAGCCTATTAATTAGAGTAAAAAAATTGTTCTAATCTGGAATTACTTAGACAATTTCTTTACACCAGTTGATAAGCTTCAGAACTATTAAGATGGTTTAGTAAAGTGGGAAACTGAAATAGAAGATGTAAATTATACAAGTTCAAATCTCAATCAGGAATTATTCCTCTTTTTGGGTTACATTGGAAACAACCCACGGTTTACAGACTACTTACATTTGATTAAGCTTAGGACTGAATTTTAGTTAAGAAAACCGAAAAATGGAAAGAGTAAACCAGAATTACAGCTATTTGTAACTCAAATCTCTGATGCTAACTGTACCCGACATCTTTACCTATGGGATAACGCCACTGTAGAGTCCCATAAAAAAGCGAATTTTTGATCATTTTTTTCAGAAATACAATAAACATAAATGAAAATTGGTTTAATTCTATTTATTATCTATATATTAAAATATAAAAAAAATTTTTTTTATTGACAAAATGGCGGCGCCAGAGCCATTGATCCAAAGTGCCTTTTTGCGGAAGTCGTCCAACGGGGGGAATCGAAGCTCCTATAATTTATGAGCTGGAACAAAAATTCAAAGATTTTCGAAAAAATATATAAGATTTTCTATAGAAGTACGTATGAATTTTGCGATAAGTTGAACAAAACTTTTTTTATAAACCAATTTTGTGCGAAATTTTTTAGCAAAAAATAAAACATTTTTTTCCAACATGCACCATTCTTACAAAAAATGATATTTCGCAATTCCCATACGTACTTCTATAGAAAATCTTATATATTTTTCAAAAATCTTTGAATTTTTGTTCCAGCTCAGAAATTATAAGAGCTTTGATTCCGCCCGTTGGACGACTTCCGCAAAAAGGCACTTTAGATCAATGGCTCTGGCGCCGCCATTTTGTCAATAAAAAATTAATAAAAAAATTTTTTTATACTTTAATATATAAATAATAAATAGAATTAAACCGATTTTCATTTATGATTATTGTATTTCTGAAAAAAATTATTTAAAATTGGCTTTTTTTGGGGACTCTAGAGTGGCGTTACCCCTTAAAATGAGTTCAGCCGTAACTCAAATTTTTGCTTACATTACCTGATTCTTTAGTTAGGTATTTCAGTTAGTAGGTAAGTTTTAACTCAAATTTCTTATAAGACTGGTCGACGTCTTCATTTACGTATTCCTCAAATGAGGTTACTGGATGCGCTCATCGTCGTTGTCTAACTGAGATGTGCAATTACTGCAACAGCAACGTTCGATAACAAAACTGTGTTTAAACTAGTTTAAAGGACTCGAGATGTCTTCTCATAACCAACATTCACACTTAAGTCAATTTTTAGGTTTTTTAACTAATCCTATTCCTCTGACGTCATCATTTTGATGATGTATTTCTATAAGTCCAAATACGAGGTTACGTAAAATTAGGGTTATGAGCAATCCAAATAATTTGATTATTAATCCTGGGCCCCAAAGTGGGCGACTTAACCGTCTTTATTTTTCCCAAAGGAGTACGTACGTTCCGAGGTAGATACCTCTCGCAATCGCGTTTCGAATTTCGAGGGTTAATGCAACGACACACGAAGCTCGAACATGAGTAGTGAGGGCTATGTTCCAAAATTCATTGTCAACCCTAAAAATCTGCAGTATACGTTACGTATACTATACACAAAAAAAAGATTATTCTTAATTTGAATATATATTTAGTTTCAACGAGGAAATCTTAAAATAAGATTATATTGCATTGAAAGAAGAAAATTTGCTTCAATAAAGTAATTTTATATAACGAAATGATTACGCTCGATAAAGCAACAGCTGAATAATGAACAATGGCCAATATTTCGAACATTAATGGATGTTAGAAATATATTTAATAATTATAATATACAATCGAGTTAGTTTACGTTTTAGTTACGTTAGTTTACGTTAGTTTACGGAATTTTAATTTCGATACAGTTGCCACTAAGTTGGTCGGGCGACAAATGGCTGACGATCGCTTCAGTTTCATGGACATACATAAGTCTTGCAACACAGGAAACGGCTATTTCAGCCTGTAATTTGACTAACAATCGACGATATATTCTGACTTCAACATGACTAATTGTCTACAGACATGGGTGAGATTTGATTGGAAATCGTAGCGCCGGATCGTACAGGAGTCTTTTATTGTTAATGCGGTATTATTTATGATTTAATGTTCTGAAAAAGGCCAAGTATGGCTCGAAACGTAAACTAACTCGATTGTATATTATAATTATTAGATATATTTCTAACATCCATTAATACTCAAAATTGGCCATTGTTCATTACTCAGTAATTTTATATAGTTCAACAAAGAAAAATATATTCTTAATATTTAAGAATAATTTTCTTGAATAAAAAGAGAAAAAATATTGGATAGAGTGTAACGTATTTTCAAATCAAAAATTATAATTTTCTTAAAATAAGATCAAGTAATTTCTATTTAATTATTTCTTTTTCTTAAAAAGCGAAAAAATATTGGATCAAAAATAACATTCTTAAATCAAAGATTGTGTGCATAGCGCACATGTTGATACAGGTCTGCACCGATCACTTGTCTACACGGGTCGACGGAAGACACAGCAAAGTCGCGAAAGTGATTGTGAGATTTCAACATTTCGTGAGATTGCAATGGAAAATTTGTTGCTATAATGGGGACTGGAAAGCTTAATTGCAACTTTTAAAGGTAAGTATTATACATGTAATATCCAGTATATGCGTACAATGGTTTGTTTCCAGAAAACAATCCTACGCAATTCAACCTTACATACTTACTGAAGGGCCGAGATAAGAACAATTTATATTATTGTAAATTGTACTACTAAGTATCAATTTAAAATAATACAAAATTTAATACAATTCTTTTCTTCGGGTTTTATTAATGCATATTCTCATATTCTTAAATTAAAAAGTAAATTCTGTAAATCAAAATATTTGTATCAAATTCAGACTTATTTACGATTATAAAACAAAAAAAAATTAAAATTCAAGTTAGTAATTTTTTATTTTAGTTGAAATGTACGTTTCTGTATATATTGTTCAGCCATTTTTCTTGATAAACAATTAATGTTTTTTATACATATATTGAGTATTAAGAAAAATGGCTAAATAATATATGCAAAAACGTAAGTACCATTTCAAATTAAGTAGAAAATTACTAACTTGAATTTTAATTTTTCTTTGTTTTGTAATCGTAAATAAGTCTAAATTTGATACAAACATTTTAATTTACAGAATTTACTTTTTAATTTAAGAATATGAAAATGTGCATTATAATTGTTGCCTTAACATTAAAATAAAAAATCACTCACCGGCCGATGCGCAACAGCGGAGTTGTAATCAACTACGTTGATCAGATAAATTATCTGAAACATACAAATATTTTTATATTAAAGCATTGCAGTGTCCAAGATAATCGATACTTGTATTGTACCGATTGTACGAGTAATGAATTAATGATTCGAGTATAATGTAAGAGCGAATCACGTCGCGCTTGAGAAAGTGGTGGAATCCGCCACAGGACAGCAAAATAATAAACGAATATTACTCACCTTACGGTCGTTCCGCCGTTGCTCGATGCCTCCCAGGCCCCCTCCTCCTCTCCGTGATCCTTCACCAATGTGCATCTCCGTCGACGCACTCACTCACGATATTCACGAGCGAAAATCGACGATATCGTCGCTCATGATCGCGCGACACTTTGCACGGCACTCCCGGTATTAATCTCGCGACGCGGCGCGTACTTTATTACACGATGATGGAAGGATTGCCAGACGTCGGAGATGCCTGTACGATCCGCTCGACCATCCCGTCGGCCTGTGATGCCCCGCAGGTAGACGCGACGAGCAAGTCTTACATGGCGGAGAGAATTTCGTAAGTCACATGGCCAACTTTACTCGCCAGAAACAACCGTCGCGTGGACTGCTTGTCAGGCGATTTTGCTTAACTGTAATCATAAATCATCGATATATGTACATACATATACACCTATATTTTCTAACTTATTAAACTGCGCGTCGATTCTTTGTCGGACTTAAAAAACTTTATCTTAATATTTTTAATTTTAATATTCTATTTCAAATCTGACCAATTAATTTTAATATTTTAATAGTTTTCTATTATACCAAAAGATATTCAGAAATCAATCGATTGATATGAATCCTTTACAGGTATATTAAATATGAAAGATAAGACGAAAAGATATAATAAGTTCTCGCCCTAGAAGTACATCTACTTATTCAGTGACGTTTAAAAAAATCGTCGACGGATGACGAATGAGAGCACGATATAATAGACATAGTATAAGTAAGAATAGTAGGTATCGAAGTGTACCTGCTGTTTTTACTTATAGTGTGCAATAGAGCTGTTTTCTTTAGCTGTAGTACAAATTTTGCATTTAAGGTAAGTGTTACATACAAGAAAGCATTAGAGAGTGAAAGAGGATAGATAAAAACTGTTAAAAAAAAAATACAGAATACGCAGCTGAAGAAAACGGACTTGATGCGATAAGGCGGAATAGAAGCTAACGAAAAACGGAATCCGCTTGGCCCATATAGATAACGAATAAATGCCAAAAGCTAGGAAAATCTTACTTTTAAACCCGGGTTAGCACTAGTTATGTTGGTGGTGGCCACTGCTCGCCGCTGACTGTCCTTCGTGTAGCGTCCTTTACACCAGTGGCAGCGAACTGTTTGCCTGCGTTCGATTGCATTCAAATGCGTGCGTGTGCGGTCGCCGATGAAATTCGGCCAGAATTCAGTCAAATCAGGTTGTGCCGGACGACGGGGCGAAACGAAAAAAAAAAAGAAAAAAAGGATGATAGACGGCTATAAATGTTTATGTCAACTACTGCATGGCATACGGAAGTGCATACGGCTAATTTTTATGTGAAGATGACAAACGCGAGAGAGAAAAAGACTCACCTCTTCGTGACTTTGTTCACGTTCGATATTAGCCAGACTGGACCGCGAGCCACGTCTGGTAGAGCTCTTTTCGTCGCCCAGCAGCTGTGTTACTTGTGCCTTGTTATCCAGCTCTACCAGCTCTACGAACTGCAAAAAAATAAAAACAAATGGTTATATTATAAATCCGTATTATTAAACTAATTCAATCAAATTTTAATTTCTATATTACTTTTTATTGTATATGTGTGTGTGTGTATATATATATATAAATTGGTTTCAGCAACACGTTTGCATGATTTTGCACACTCACGCTTTGCTATCAAAGATTAAATAATTTTAAATGTTTAGATCATCAAGTATTAAAACTTAAAACCATATAATCAATCTTTGCAAATTTAAAATTAAAATTAATAATTCCTTTTGTAATTCGCGAGCTAGAGAATTACAAAAAGAATGTTAAACATTATTTAAATATTAATTAAGATTGTAAAATTCTACAATATGACATCATAGCAATGTCAGCGGAGCGCGATTTATGCCAGCACCATTCAGGGCTGCGTTCGCATTCCCCACCCGAGTGCTAAAAATCTAATAGTATATGCACTGTTAAAAAAATCTGTATTAAAAATAATATAAAAATGTAGGAAATTTTTATCCAGGCACCGTATATAAAATTTCAAATAAGAAGTTGAAAATTAAAGGAGTAGTATTTCGAAAATAAAAATATCGAGCAGTAATATTACTATGCTCAACTATTTGAAAATTCAAGGAATTTTGATCTTTAAGCATATTTAAATTAAACAGGTTTTCTAATTTTCATGAACATAAACTTAATTTAAATATACTTAAAGATCAAGATTTCTTTACAAGTATCTGATTTTTCAAACAGATGTACATAGTAATATTACTACTCTTTACTTTTATTTTCTAAATACCACTCCTTTAATTTTCAACTTCGTATTTGAAATTTCATATACGGTATCTGCATAAAAATTTCCCACATTTTTATATTATTTTTAATACAGATTTTTTTAACAGTGCACATACTATAAAATTTTTAACACTCGGATGGGGAATCCGAACGCAGCCCAGAAAGAGTGCGTGAAATGAGGAGTGTTGCAAATAAGAGAACGACTTCCGTGGCCAGTAATGAATTGCATCGGGGCTCAATGTCGAACGACGGTTTCACGTACACTGTCAGAATTCGAATCGATCGAAAATCTTGATTTATCCGAGGATTTATCTATTGTCTGCCGCAAACGCGCGATACGGAAATCTTGCAAGAGCATCGACTTGATGCCCTTTCGACGGAGATCTTGTCCACGAGGCAGACGACGATCGCGAACGCGACGCGATGATAGTGATCGGAGGCGAGCTCACATGGTGAGCAGGAAGGTCATCCTCGAAGATAGCAGTTGACCGCTCTTGGCGACTCGAAGTATGAAGTCGTGCTTCTCCCGGTTGAGCGGAGAGGCACGTGTTAAAGAACGTTTCGGGTTCCTTGCGACAATCACGCACTTTTAACAATTTAATTGGGCGGCAATGCCACGCATGAATCGGTGGAGAAACCACGCACACAGAATATTTGCCGTTTTACCGAAATCACTTGATTTGGAGACGTGCGAAACGAGTCTGACACGAGGCCGTTCTCTTCCGCCAGGAAAGTTCTCGAGAGACGGAAACGGGGGAGAGATCCGGAACGCGACAACGCGACGCTCTCTGATTAATCCGATAATTGACCGCGTTGCGCGAGGGGCGCAGTTATCGCGAACAAAGACACTGCGCGTGTCCGGACACTGCGCCGTGCTCTGATTCTCGCCGGCATGCTCGCACCTGTGCGTGGGGTGGCATCGACGCGTGATCAACCACGCGGGGCGGCGTGATCGACAACCCCGGATCGAATATGCCACGCGACTGACGACAGGCACGTAGCGGTCAGCCTCGCGGCCCGATGCTTACATCGAGATTGCTATGTTCAACCATTAACATTGAATATATTATAGTTGAATAAAATATTTAAAATCCGATTAATGTGTTTAAAATTTCTTTACACGAAGGGATATTAAAAATATAACTGACAAACTCAAGTTTCCAAATTATTTATAATAATAATTATATACATTTAATTTAAGTTTTACACATTTATATATATTTAATTTAATAGTTTTTATACTTTAAATAATTAAATATTAACATTTTACGTAAAAATGTTTAGAGAAATATTTATTTTAAAATATATTTTTGATAATTTTTAGCCGCAAGTTTAAAAAAAAATAACGAAAATGTACTAATAAAATGTAATACACTTACATGTTCGGCTAAATCGACTCCAAGTTCCTCTTGTAACAATAATGCTTCAGCAAGTAGTTCTTCGAGTTTGTTGGCTTCCATTTCTAAAGTAGCCAATAAATGTTCTTCTCCTTCGATCCCACCTTAAACAAATGCAGAAAATGCTTTTAATAATTTTATTATTGTAATGTTATTTTTAAGATAAAAGAAAATAAGAGAGTAATTCATAAATTATAAATAGGAGAATGCACTTATTATATGTAGAAAAAAAATTAACGCATAACTTTTTATCGTTAGAGAAGATACAAGTTGACGCCGATAAAACCTATTACTCTTGGAAACAACAACTTAGAATATGGAGTAGTACTATGAATTAAATAATTCTCTCTGATGAAGCAGTATTTAATACTAGAGATAGGTACGATAGCAATGTAAAATACAAATTACATATAGAATCAGTGCATTATAAACTTTGATAATATAAAAACAATAAAATGTTTTTAATTATAAGATTATGAGCAAATAAAGGAATTCGACGAAAAAAAGAACAAAATGTGTTAAAATATGTTTATTAGAATAGCATTATGTATTATATAAAAATAAATTATAAAAAAAAATAAATAATGGTACAAAAAAAATTCTAAAATATAAATATAAATAGAAATAGAAATAATAAGTGAGTTTTTTAAAAACACCACTTGTAAATAAAATAATACATTGAAAAGCAATATTACAAGATCTCTTCTATATAAGATTTAATTTTACCTGTATCTAACGATGGTTGTAATTCTTCAATCAATGATGCCTTGCTTTCCGATTTTTGTTCGTTTTCACTTCCTGGTATTATACTGTTACCTCCATCGAAGTTTAATTGTGGTTCTGGCTGGACAGACTGTTCAGAAGCATTAAATATTGTCTTTTTATCAGCAAGATTAGAAGTATTCTGTACTACGTTTGAATCGGCAGAGATGCCAATATTCAATGAAACTGCTGTGGAAATGGAACCGATTGACGATCCAGACTATTACTGTTGCGAAAGGTGTAGACGGAGTCGTAGGTGTTGCAGGGTTATCTGTAACCTTTCCGTCACTATTCGAACCTACACGGCGAATTATATCCGGTGTTGAAAAAAGCGCGGGACCCAAAGTATCAGCTGCATAGTCTGGAGCCTTTCGATTATCTCTTTTAGGCTTCTTCGCACCTGTAACAAATGTTTCAAATGTAACTTAATGTTATGTAGCTCACTTTAATTAATTCTTAATTAATTAAATCCGTCTATACGGATCTGTGAACTTATTCGAGATTTATCTTCATTTTGCATATAATAGAAAAAAGAAAATATCTTATTAATGATTTCGAAATTATTTAATTTTCAGATCGAATTAATTTCTGAATTGAGCAAGACATAATTATATTAACTTCTTACTAAATGGTGATCTTCTTGATGTTAGCAAACACCAATAAGTAAAACATTATTCTTCGCATATTTTTCCCGATTTATCGTTAATCAACTTCAGTCGGATTTCCGGCAGATGCAAAAAAAAAGTAACATGTGACGCAGAAACAGCAAGAAACGTTAGTTACGCTCTATGTGCGTCGAACCAATTTCAGAGATGTTTCAATGTAAAGGGAAAGAATAATAGCATGGCGGTGAACTAAATTTATATCCCTGCATCCAATTTTTACAACGGTATATAGTCTGCAAGCTGTAGTAGACTTCGGCCCGTATTCTCAGTTCACTTTTATCGATAAATGCGCGCATTTATTTCTAAGACTGTACAGTACATGTAACGTAAACTATACATATGTTAAAATGCGCGCATTTATGATAAAAGTGAACTGAGAGTGAGTGAACGGGCCATTGTGTTTATTGCTTCGTACGCTTTGATGTCATCATATCATGCGGCGAGACAGCGACCGCGACAGTGCAACCATTGTAGCAGGGATGCGATGCGATGTCGTCGTTTTACAAACAGATTCGAGTAACGATTTTTAACAGTTTAACATCCAGCACGACATATTTTGACCAAGTGTCGTGCTCAACGTAACTGTTAAAAATTGATTTTAAAAATCGTTAATCGCATCGGAACTTTTCTTAAAACTAATAACTATAAAACACTGAACTCTCTTACAGAACTGTCAAAACTAATTGTTAGAACCGCGGAAAATCATTAGCGCGACACTTCTTGCGAAACGTCGTGCTGGACGCGGATAAAAATTGTTCAAAAAGTGTTAATTGAAGGAATATTGATTTGAAATTGTATAAGATGTGTAGAATTCGATTAAAACCGGGAACTCTCGTCAAATATAATATTCAACACGTTTTGATACTTCAGAGGATGGTCGTGCTAGATTCGCGAAGTTAACACATTTTTTCTATTTCGATTTTTTTAAATAAGGAATGTGGAACTCGTTTATTTTTTATCACGTTTTAATACGTAGAACTATGAAAAGTGCTATTAAAACTCTCGGTATATTTTTGAAATTATTATCGTAGAATGTCGGGCCAGTTTCACGCACAGATCCGAGAAATCGTAGTTCGCATATATCACACGCGAAACTCCCCTCGATACATCATTCAAAAAAGTGATATAATAATCGCGACCGATCGTAATTCGTCCATATCTCACCATTATTTTACGTTTACGCGAGCGTTAACGCTCGCGCAACTTACGATAATTCCCTTATTTACGTGTTATCGAATTATCGGAAGTTACTACATATCCCCGTTTACGCGGAGGAATTATCGTAAGTTACTACAGAAGTAACGCTCGCGTATAAATAATATTTGTCCCGTCACCCGAAAAAAAACGACCGCGACGAGCGTCTTCCAGGAAAACGGCACCGACGGGAAACATGGCGGATGTATATCGCGCTCGCGACGAAAACCACGCGAGCTTCTCGACGGGACGACATCGACATGGTGATCGCATTCGCGAGCGCAATTACTCGCGTCAAACAAATATGAAGCGTTGCGTACTTACAGGAGAGGCGAGGCACGATACTCCGATGTCTCCGGCTCCGGATGACTCCGATGTAAAACTGTCTCAAACTCGAACACCGGCTTCGATCGCGGGTCGATATTCCAGGATTCCACCGTCATGCGCGAGAAACGGCGACGAAAAAACGCAGGCTCCGCAAGCGTCGCGTACATCATGCTGGACGACGATTAACCCGCATTTTTCGCGATAAGCGGCCTTGTTTCTAATTACGAGAGATTGTCGAACGTACCGATTCTCGCGGACACCGGCCCGCGGCCGTTGGTCGAGACTCCCTCACCGCCGTGTCCCCTCCGTAATCCGTTCAATCGAGAGACGAATACGATATCGTTATTAAGTACACACATCACGCAGAATCACGCTCGCTCGCGGCCGAATGCGATTACGATCGAAGCTGATCGAAGGATCCACGCCGCGTCGTGACGTCGCGGCCGTATCGCGCGGTGTCCTGATGGGAACTCATATGGGAACTGTCCCCCACCCGGCCCGCCCCTTACATTCCTTCGCGCGGCCTTCGCGCGGCTCGCGGCCGTCGCGGGGCGCAGTGTACTTGCCGAAATTACTATACGCGCGCGATAACGAAAACACGCGATTGGCCCAAATCAAAGATGGGCATGAATGACATTTCATGATTGACGATTAATAAATAAAAATTTATTCGTTATGCTCTTATCCATTGAATATTAATAATATCAATTAGACAGTTTCATATAAAATACATTTATAATGGTTAAACTTTTTAATTTATTGTTCAAGTAGCAAAAAATACGAAAAAGAGAAAAAATATAATTAATTGTGACAAATAAGACATTGACAGTTTTACAATATAAAGCTTTTAATAATTTTATTTTCCTCATGGTAATTAATCATATCGCATGAGCACTGAAAATCTGAGCAAGATATTTGTGTCTTATATATATTTATGTCATAGCTCTGTCTAATTGATATTATTAATATAACATATCCTTATATAGTATTTTCTACCATGTTTCCTCAAAAAAATTTGTATTTTATCTGTGTATAGAGAATGCTCAGCAGAAAGTGGAATATTTCTACCAAATATGAAGGTAATTTATTATTCACAGAAATATTATTTTTATCATCTACACATTATCACTTTTTAAATCTACCAGTGAAATACATTCTTTATTATATTTTTTATTTATGCTTACGAGATTATCTGAACTAAATTTTAGACAACTGAGATATCTCACAATATTTTCTAACAGAATAGCAAAATGTGCTCGATATAACTATTCTGTGAATTTTGCACGCGGTGCATTCTTACACAATAAATCGACCAATACTTATACTTATATATTATACCCAGATAGCACAGTTGATCTTTATGAATTCATAAAGATCAGATTCAGATCTTTTTGAATTTATAAAGATCAGCTGTGCTATCTGGGTAGACTTCCAGAATTATATATTAAACCTAATTTTGAAATAAATAATCTATTTATTTTAAGGCAATGGATCTTTGAAGTGTTATATATTTATTTATAGTATTATATTCTTTCTTTGATGAATATATTTATATACATACATTTTTTACAATACAACACAACAACACAACAACAACATATCAGATATATATTATATACAATTTATCTTCACAGATCTATTACCTCAATTTAATAGAAAATAATTTATGACTCACCGATATGATGGCGTAACAGCGCCGGCAGTTTGCAATGCAAACTGTGTCGAAAACTGCAAAACACAAATGTATTTGAATTAGAACAATGCACGGAATAATTGCTATTTCAAAAAATGATTATCACAGGCATAAAATAATTGTATTTCCGAAAAAAAGTTTTTCTTAAGTATACAAGCTTTTGGGAACTTTCCAGCAATAAGCGACACAAGTCGACACAAGTGTCGTTTTGTCTCTGTTACTCATTGCCAAAAAAGAAAGAATATTTGCTTTCCATTTACATCAAAACTCAGATAATTCTCACTTGTGACGTCACAACTCATTATCAGTTAAATGCACGTTCTTTTTGCATGCTGGCAAGTGAGATTCAACTGAGTTTTTATCCACAATCGAGACCATGTGCTTTAATAAATGTAATAAACTTACGGAAGTTAGAGCTACCATATGCTACCATAGACATTTCTAAAATAATTATGAACCTTCGATTGCGTATAAAGCTGGGTCTAATCAACCAAATCTTAAAGTATTATATATATGAAATAGGGCCAAAAAGACTGAAGAATAGAATTAGAAATAACCTGATATCTCAAAATTTGCGGAAGTTGGAGCAGCCACGGACATTTCTCAAAAAATTCAAAATTTTATAAAGAAAGAAGCTTTTACCGATTACCGCCAAATTTAATACCATTTTTCCTTTAATAATACTCCACGTTAAAAAAAAATTGTGCTCAATATTTCAAAATTTGCGGAAGTTAGAGCGGACATTTCTCAAAAAATTCAAAATTTTATAAAAAATGAACCTCTTTACTAATCATCGCCAAATTCAATACCAATCTTCCTTTAATAATACTCTACATTTAAAAAAAAATTGAGCCCAATATCTCAAGCAGAAGTTAGAGCATATACGGACAACAAAAGCGTTACAGACACACACATACACGGACATTTTTTTTAACATAATTTTTCGACGTTTTAGAACACTGAACATATTAGCATCAAAAACTCATAAAACAATATTTTCTTTGGTCTATTTCTACCCCTATTTCATATATAATTCTTTTAAATTTGATTGATTAGACCCAACTTTATACGCAATCAAAGGTTCATATATAAAATTTACGAAAACAAAGCTTCTTCTATGAGGAAGCAATAGATCTCATACAATCAAAAATATATAATAAGGAGTAACAATATTTCTCAATTATTGAATGTTATTTAAATGATGAATATTACAAGTAATCTTTGCTACAGCGGGATATATACATATGTATATATCGCGTACATGGAGCGAAGTAAGAAAACGTAATTTTTGTTTTTTATTTTATAGTCTGTACTTGAAAAAGCCGAGCGATCAAAGCCAGAAGAAAGATTCAAGATTTTGTACAATATAATTAAATCGGCACTGGCTAAGATAGAAGAAAACACAATGTAAAAAAGGTAATAAATACCGTAAGATTTCCATAACTGTTTGACTTTTGCACTTTAAAGCAAAAGCAGACGACCCAAAATCTTACATACTTTAATCTCAAATTCTCATAACTCTAAAAATCTCAACATTTACAAATCAATGGATGGTTGTCCCCTTATAAGTGACTTGAAATAAATTTAACTATAAACTGAAGTAAATTACGCACTCAATGAGTATAATACAAATTGAGGAATTATAATTTAGGTAAAGATTTGGCCACGTTCTTTGAAAATTTATAGTGTATTATGTATATGTTTTTGATTCGCACACTGTAAGCCAAAATATTTGGCATAAAAAATAACCGCGCCTAAGAACAATCTTTAACCGAATGTAATATGAATGTTTCAGACTTTGCAAAGAGAAAATTTCAAGATATCCTACATGAAAAATGAACGACATCATTTTTATAATATGGTGAAATTTTCTTATAATGTAGTCCACCATCAAGATAACACCAACTGTGTAAGTATGTCTAATTTGATTAATCGATAATTTTATTTTAAAACTCAATATATCACTCACGCAGAGTAGGCATCAATGCGTATCTATAACAATATTTTCGTATTTCAGGAATATTTCTGTGACAATATTTTCGTATTTCAGAAATATTTTTTTGAAATATATACAGGAATAAAAATATTCCTCAATCACTGAAATGTTATTAAAATATGATGTATGTACATATATTACAAGGTATATTACAAGTAATCTTTGCGATAAGCGGGTCGTCACGTATATTCGGTGAAGTAAGAAAACAAAATTTTATGTTTTACTTTACAGCTTGTGAGCGAAAAAAAAACCGACAAAACAAATAAAGAGGGAAATCTTTGGCTCTCGTACGAGTTTACTAAGATTGAAATATCATTCTCGGCTAAAAAAATATAATTAAGATGCGGAATTTGATATATGTATAATATTAACTTTATGTATCATATATACCTACATTTTATATGCATTATTATAAAGGAAGACATAAAAGACAAAAGTTGTTCAAAATATAGACAATTAATCTTTAGGGATTTTATAAAAAAAAGTAACAACTTATTTGGCTACGTAACTGAGAGATCGATTTTTAGTAACATGGATACAAGTTGTTACATTATAATAGTCAATATTTTTATAATTTCACTGTATCAGAGAATGTGGAAATTAAGTAAATGAATTGAAATGCATCGAGTAACGTTAAGAAGTAAAATACAAGTCCTTAAATTAGTCAATATTTTTAATTTTACTGTATCAAAGAATGTGGAAATTAAGTAAATGAATTGAAATGTATAAAGTAACGTTAAGAAGTAAAATTCCAAATTCTTATTCTTATGGAATAATCAAACGTAATTGCATAACTATTAACGTTACAAGTGAAATTTACAGTTAATAATTTCACTAATTTGTTATTGAAAAGTAGTAACTGTAGGTACAACGGCAATTACTTCTCTTTTTCGGTTAAAATACATTTTCTATTTATGTTAAAAGATAATATTTTCATAAATTGTTTATATCTTTAATTAAGATTTAATTTTATTATTTAGAAATTAATTGAAAATTACAGAATGCAATTAATATCACTTATATATAATCATACTTAATTGTCACAAGAGATGCTTGATTTGTTAATAATTTTAACTAACCTTATGACCGAATTATTCAATCAAATATTCATTTTCCGGGTAGGAACGATCATCCTGAAGAATGTCCATATATGTACGCTGATAGTGATATGATCGCTTCGACGGACTGGAGACCCATGCACGCAACTTAGTTCTGAACTCCAACGGAATTCGGATCGCCCGAGCGCAATGGCAACCCGCGGAAATAATCGGGCACGAGGGTGGCGCGTGACGGAACGAACGTTGATCGAAAATTGCTGCACGCAAAAAGAAACGGATATCTTTGAAGCCAGTATAGAGCGGAAATCTTGAGACGCGAGAATAGAACGGAGATCTCGAAACGCACAGTAGCATCACAGACTCTCGCTTGCGTCGCTGATGAGGACAAGTTCTTAAACCCGCGAGAAGAGCGTATTATACTCCACTCGCAACAAGCTCGCTCCCAATATCACGGGAGGCCGGTTTTGACTCTATTCTCGTGTCACGCCCGCACTTCCTCGTCAGAACATAGGAACTTTATTGCGCGAGAAATAGTCTCGTTGCCGATTAGACCGATAGGTCTGAACCGAAGGTCCGTCAAGCTTGAACTGAGCTCGCAGGATCGTCGCACAACACGCGAATTTTCGAGTTTGGAAGCGGCGCAGGTATGCGGAAGCATGCCCCGCGCGTGATACCATTGTCAGAGACGCGTGTATGCGTGATCGACTACACGCTGTAGTCGTTCGTCAATATCTAAATATAAGGAACTTGAATTCATGAGTAACGGCGAATCCGGAACAAAATCCAAATATATGAAGATTATTGTAAATAAATAATGACATTTTTTATAACAAATTGTAAAATGTTACATCCCGTTTTCACACACATGTAATGAGCCATAATTCATCTTAAGAAGAAGATTACATCGTAGATAGAAATAATATAAATTTGTGGAATTTTTCATCTCTATCTTTAGAAGGTCTAAACTGAACATTCTGATCCTTTAGTCGACGCTATTAGAAGAGAAACGTTACACTCTAATGAATTAAATATTCCAATGATAGAGTATGATTATTGGCAGCCTGATGATAGAGAAATTATGCAAATAAGTTTATTTGACAAGACTGTTAAGATAAAAGATAAATCTGTTCAAACTGCGACTGAGAGATACTTTGCATCGATTAGGAAACATCTTCGACGAAAACGCAGCGATTGGTTTAAGTAACTGCGATTTTATCCGGTGAACTCGCTGAGCTAAAGACAAAAATGTGACCTGTTATATAAATTTAAAAACATCAAAAAGATACTTTTCATTTTTCAGCATGTACCTACTATTTGCACAAAATACATTATTTAAAATAATTTATTTTAAATTCTTATAAAAAAATGAATAATTATGAAAATTGTCAAATGCCATTATATTTTTGAAAGTAAATGGGATACATTTCTCGTAAATATATTTTGTTATACATCGAAAATAAGACATTATAAATTTTACACGTTAAAGTTAAATTCATATTACAATACTTCGAAGTGCCACAACAAATCAAGGGTAACAATCATTGCGGTTTATATTGCATAGAATATACATATGCGCAAACTAATTGTATGTATATAGTGAATAACATCAGTTGCTTATTTAAAATTTAAAAACTGTTCTAATGATATATATTTAAACATATATTATATACTATAACTATGTTATTTATCAGGAAAAAATGAAACAAATATGTAGACAAGAGAAAAATGTTATATACAATTTAACAAGACATAAGTAGAAGACAAATCGAGTACGTCGCATATTTAAGAGAACATGAGTGTCATTGATGATAGCGAGATGCTGGATTCTTGCACTCTTAAGTACACGATGACTCGGAAAACCACAAATTCATTATCGTTTTGCGATAGATTACTAGATTTCGATTAGAACATCGAATTTATCTTTAATAAAAAACGATATATTTATAAAATTAATCAAAATTGTCGACTGACAAGTGTTATGGTTATGGGTATGGGTGCTTATACTGTTATATACGCATATAATTTTTATTATTTTAAATTATTATTTAAAAAAAAATGCTTTCTTTCATGTATTTCTTTCAAATCATAATAGAGTCTTTCAAAAATCGAAATTTTGATCCGAAAATCTTGTTATTCTCACTTATTACTGGCAGGATAATATTAAACTAGATGTCAATCATTTATCGTTATGTTGATACTTATTAGATCCACAGCTAGAGATCCAGACGCAAAATATGATCTATCGTTTTGTTCAAACAAAGAACGTTTACATCTACAAATCCAGATGTCTTATTTCGAAAGCCTGTCGAAATATTAATATCGGGAATTTAACAATAAATGTC